TGAGGAACTCCTGCAGAGATGTCCTGGAGCTGAGTTGAGTGACCTCCAAAAACCATGACATTCTTCCTATGTGACAGATATGACTCCAACCACTGGAGAAGTTTCCCCTGGATTCTCATTGATTCCAGTTTTGCCAGGGCTCCTTGATGCCACACTCAGTTGAATGCAACCTTGATATCAAGGACTGTCATTCTCGCCTCACCTCTGGAATTCAGCTCTTTTGTCCATGTTTGAACCAAGGCTGAATGAGGTCTGGACCTGAGTGGTCTTGGCAGAACCTAAACTGGTGAGCAGGTTATTACTGAGCAGGTGCTTGATAGCACTGTTGATGACATCTTCCGTCACTTTACTGATGATCGAGAGTAGACTGATGGGGTGGTAATTATTCTGCTGTTGGATTTGTCCTGCTTTTTATGTACTGGACATAGTTAGGCGATTTTCCACATTGTCGGGTACGTAGCAGTGCTGTAACTGTAATGGAACAGCTTAGCTAGGAGAGCGACAAGTTCTGAATCACAAGTCTGTAGTACTATTGCTGGAATGTTGTCTGGGCCTGTATCCTTTGCAGTATCCAATGTCTCCAACCATTTCTTGATATCACGTGGAGTGAATTGAATTGGCTGAAGATTGATACCTGTAATGTTAGGGACCACTGGAGGAGGCTAAGATAGATCATCCACTTGGCACCACTGAAGATTGCTGTGAAAACTTTAGCCTTACCTTTGCATGGATGTGCTGGGCTCTTCCGCCATTGAGGATGGGGATGTTTGTCGAGTATCGTCCTTGAGTGAGTTGTTTAATCATCCATCACCATTCACGACTGGATGTGGCAGGACTGCAGAACTTAGATCTGATCCATTGATTGTGGGATTGCTTAGCTCTACCTGTCACTTACTGCTCATGCTGTTTGGCATACAAATAGTCCTTTTTGGTGGCTTCACCAGGTTGACAACTCATCTTGAAGTATGCCTTGTGCTGCTCCTGGCATACCCTCCTGCACTTATCATTCAACCAGGGTTGATGCCCTGCCTTGATTGTAATGGTTGAGTGGGGAATATGCTGGGACATGATCTTACAGATTGTGCTGCAGTACAATTCTGCTGCTGTTGATGGCCCACAGCACCTCATAGATGCCCAGACATGAGTTACTTGATCTGTTCAAAGTCTGTCCTATTTAGCACAGCGATTGTTCCATGCAACATGATGGAGGTTATTTTTAATTTAAAGCTGGGATTTTGTCTCCACAAGGACTGTGTGGTGGTCTCTCTGACTGATACTGTCATGGGCAGATGCCTCTGCAGCTGGCAGGTTAGTAAGGATGAGGTCAAGTATGTTTTTCCCTCTTGTTACTTCCCTCACCATGTGCTGCAGACCCAGTCTAGCAGCCATGTCCTTTAGGACCTGACCAGTTCGATCAGTAGTAGTACTGCTGCCAAGCCACTCTTTGTGGTAGAATTGGACACTGAAATCCCCCACCCAGAGTATATTTTGTGCCCTTGCTTTCTTTAGTGCTTCCTCCAAGTTTTGTTCGACATGGAGGAGAATTGATTCATCAGCTGAGGGAGGACGGTACGTAATAATCAGCAGGAGGTTTCCTTACCCAGGTTTAATCTGAATCGATGATACATCAAGAGGTCCAGAATCAATGTTGAGGACTCCCAGAGCAACTCCCTCTTGATTGTATACCATTGTGCTGTCACTTCTGCTGGGTCTATCCTTCTGGTGGGACAGGACATATCCAGGGATGGCAATGGTGCCTGGGTCATTTTGTGTAAGGTATAATCCTGTGAGAACAACTTTGTCAGGCCGTTGCTTGACTAGTCTGTGAGACAGCACTCCAAATTTTGGCACTAGCCCCCAGATGTTAAAGAGAACTTTGCAGTGGCGACAGGGATGTTTCTGCCGTTGTCTTTTCCAGTGCCTAGGTCATTGCCAGCTGATCCATTTGGTTTCATTTCTTTGAAATTTTGTAGAGATTGGTATAACTGAATGGCTTTCTAGTCCATTTCAGAGGCCAATTGTAAGTCATCCACATTGTTGTGGGTCTGGAGTCACGTGTAGGCCAGACCAGGTGAGGATGGCAGATTTCCTTCCCTGAAGGACATTAGTTTTTTTGACAATCGACAATGATTTCATGGTCATCAGTAGATTCTTAATTCCAGTTTTTAAGAATTTTTTAAATTGAATTCAAATTCCACCATCTGCTGTGACAAGATTTGAACCCGGCTCCCCAGAACAATACCTGGATCTCTGGATTAATAGCCTAGCGATAATACCACTAGGCCATCACCTTCGATGACAAAAAAAGGTGAAAAGGCAGATTGTGAGAGGGATGCAAACAGTTTAGAGTGAGATATTGATAAGTTAATTAATCATAGAATCTCTACTGTGTGGAAGCAGGCCATTTGCCCCATCAATTCCGTACCAACCCTCCACAGAACATCCCACCCAGATCCACCTAACCTGCACATCCCTGGACGCTATGGCCAATTTAGCATGGTCAATCCACCAAACCTGCACATCTTTGGACTGTGGGAGGAAACTAGAGCACTTGGCAGAAACCCATGCAGATACCAGGAAATTGTGCAAACTCCACACAGTTTGTTGCCTGAGTCTGGAATTGAACCTTGGTCCCTGGAGCTGTGAGGCAACAGTGCTAACCACTGAGCCACCGTGCCTCTCAGTAAGTGGGGAAAATCTTGGCAAGTTCAGCATAATATGGGAAAATGTGAAATTGTTCATTTTGGAAGAGAGACCAAAAGAAGAGAATTTTTTTTGAATGGGGAAAACTGCAGAAAGCTTCAACCAAAGGAATTCGGGGATACTTGTGCATGAAACACAGAAAGCTAACATGCAGGTGCAACAGGTAATCAGAAAGGCTAATGGAATTTTGGCCCTGAATTCAAGGGGGTTGGAGTATAAGACTGGGGACATTTTACTCTAAGTGAAAGAGATGCCATTATCTTAGAGTCATATAGCATGTAAACAGGCTGTTCGGCCCACTCATCTATTCCGAACAGGTTTCCTAAACTGAACTAGTCTCATTTGCCTGCATTTGGCCCATGTCACTCTAAATCTTTCCTTTCCATGTATCTGTCCAAATGCCTTGTAAATGTTGTAATTATACCTGCCTCTACTCCTTCCTCTGGCAGCTCATTTCATATACACACCACCCTCTGCGTGAAGAAGTTGTCCCTCAGGTCCCTTTAAAATCTTTCCCCTCTCTCACTTTAAACCTAGGCCCTCTAGTTTTGGCCTCCTCTATCCTGGGGAAATACTTTGGCTACTTACCTTACCAATGCATCTCCCTTAGACAAGATAGTTTACCTGTAAGTAGTGGAGATTCCCAGCATGTGCAATCCTGGTGTAAGTGGCAGCATTACTGGTGCCATTGTGTTTGAATATGACTTATTTTAGGCTGTGTAAACCTTGGAACTGATTCTGTTATTCCTGAAGTTTCATAAAAAGTACAATGTCAGAGATAACAAGATGTAGAGCTAGATGAACACAGCAGGCCAAGCAGCATCAGAGGAGCAGGAAAGCTGACGTTTCAGGCCTAGACCGTTTTTCAGAATTGAAGAAGGGTCTAGGCCCGAAACGTCAGCTTTCCTGCTCCTCAGATGCTCCTTGGCCTGCTGTGTTCATCCAACTCTACACCTTGTTATCTCAGATTCTCCAGCATCTGCAGTTCCTACTCTCTCTGAAACAATGTCAGAGAGTTGTTTGATATTACAGAATTTGAAATTGGTTGTCATTATCATTCTTGGTACGGTCAGGATTACTTAGCAAATGTTATTAAATTGCAGAATCAAATTTAACAAATTGACCTTTGTAAGTGCTGTCTATTTGGGTTTGGTCAGTACCTTGCTTATTATGGACAGCTCAAGGATGTACAGTTTGATGTGATTTATCAGTCTTTGAGATGTTTGGCTGACATTCCTAATGTCTAATTGGTATTGAAATTGATATGAGACAAAAAAATTGCAGATGCTGGAATCCAGGATAGACAAAAAGGAGACTCGAAGAACACAGTAAGCCAGGCAACATCTGGAGGAAACGAGCAGTCAAGTTTCGGGATTAACCTTCTTCAAATTGATATGCCAAATTACTTACTTGTATGACTGGCAAAATATATTTTCATCTTAACATCAGCATCCTATTAGTGGTGAATATATTGCTAAGAATTACTCTGACATCCGATTTAAGTTAGTCGGGCTCACAAGCTATGTCACATTTATAATAAACAGGACCCTCTTCTTTCCAGATAGAACATGTATCGACATTGAATCTGTTTAAAATAAACAAAATAAGTGATACCCATTCTCTGGTTCTCCTGCACATTTTAAATTCATATAAACTTTGACAATTAACTGTCAGCCATCATCTAACTGATGCATTCTCCATGGCAATGCCTCTATCAATCAGAATCTAATTTTCATGCTGTTGTCCCCTTTTATATTGGTGTTCTTGCAAATAAACTGATGGACGCAAGACAAAATTTTGACTGTCTTTTTTTCAACGATACAAAAGCACACTGGGGGTGTGTTTGATGTTTTTATAACTTATCCACCTGATAATTGTACCCAATATGATTGAAATCTCTTGGAAGAATCCAACTGAGGGCTGGGAAGTAATAAACCTTTGTTTGCCAAATTTCTTTCTGACTTTGCACTATTTGATGTTTCTAATAGCTAAGAGCGTCATTTCAAAGATTCAAATGGTATGTTTAATAAGGTGATGTTTTTAGAATCTTGCCTTGGAAATGTTACGTACTTAAGATACTTAAATTTCTTCTTCTTATGCAGTCGTTTGAAGCTGTCTTTTGCCTGATTCTTTCAATTGCAGTGCATGGGAGTATGTCTCCCAATAGCATGGGAAACTAAAATAAGTACATTTGACTTAGACTAATGTATCCAATTCAATTCATGAACCAAACAATACTTGTTATTTATGAACTGCCATTTGAAATTAATTCAGAGTAATAACTTTGTATGTTTCAGGCACTTCATCTCAGCAACGTTGCATTGGCAAAAACAACAACAGGTCAGATAGTGAACCTGTTGTCAAATGATGTTAATAAGTTTGATCAGGTAATGTGTACTATGTGATAATTGGGGGAATGGATAGGGCTGGAAAGAGTCACCATTCACATATTCACAATCATTCTTGTTTTCTTCCGCCCCTAACCCTGTTAGTGCAATCAATGTTCCTGTTTTTCTTTTAAAAATGCATTTGTAATTTTGTACAATAAGGATGCCATAATGAATGATTTTATTTAAGAAAATAACAAAGCATAAACTAAATCAGTGACCCATTACCATATTCCTCAACAGTGTGAGTCAGACAACTTATAAAACATTAACAAAAACAGAAGTTGCTGGAAAACCTCAGCAGATCTGGCTGCATCTGTGAAAAGAAATCAGAGTTAACATTTTGAGTGATTTGAAACATTAACTCTGATTTCTCTTCACAGATACAGCCAGACCTGCTGAGCTTTTCCAGCCATTTCTGTTTTTGTTCCTGATTTACAGCATCCACATCTTTTGGTTTTTATAAACCATCAAATCATTGTTAAGTTGGGACTCTGTCTTAAATGGCCTACTCCACATTCTTAAATGTCCAGGCGAATCGAATCCCTACAGTGTGGAAACAGGCCCTTTGGCCCAACAAGTCCTCACTGACTCTGAGCATCCCACCCAGACCCATCCCCCATAACCTATAGGCAGAGTGATGGTGGTATAGTGGTGAACGTAGCTGCTGTCCAAGCAATTGACCCAGGATCGATTCACGGCCATTGCAGGGCTGTGCTTTTGGGCGGCATGGTGGATCCGTGGTTAGCACTGCTGCCTCACAGCGCCAGGGACCCAGGTTCAATTCCAGCCTTGAGTGACTGTCTGTGTGGAATTTGCACATTCTCTCCATGTCTGTGTTGGTTTCCTCCAGGTGCTCCGGTTTCCCCTCTCAATCCAAAGATGTGCAGACTAGGTGGATTGGCCATGCTAAGTTGCCCACTTTGGATATTAACATTTGAAGAAATAAATTTTCCATGATGTTTGTGACATAGAAATCTTTTTTTTTGAAAAGGATGCAATGAGTTATGCATCTGAAACTTGCATTTATTCTAAATGTTGGGTATTTTCAGGAAAGTTCTTCACAGGATAGCTTGAGTCTGTAACCTGATACAAAAGCTTAAATGTTTCACTAAATATATTTTTATTAGGGGGAATCAGAATCCTCCTGTCTGTTTTAAGTTTAAAAATAGCTTGGTAATTAACTGTTAGCCATCATCTGGTGTTTTTTCCACTGTAATGACTTTACCAATCATGCATTCTCTTACCATGCTGTTATTTCCCTTTACATTGGTATTCTTGAAAATGTACTGACGGGTTCAAGATAACATTTTGACAGTGTCAGTTTTTTTCTGAAATACAGTGCTAAAATGTCATCTTCAGCCATGTTTGAGTGCCAAAATTGTGTTTTCGAACGTTAGTGCATATGTTGTTAGCTTACCAAACTGTGTCTCTTTGTTTCAATATATTGTGTGTGCAATTTTTCTCTTCACTCCTAGATCTTTCCAAAAGATTTTTAATGTTGCTTATATTTTATCCCAACAATGTTATAGGTAACCATATTCCTGCATTTTCTATGGGTTGGACCGTTGCAGGCAATTGCAGTGGTAGCACTACTCTGGCAAGAAATAGGGCCATCTTGCCTGGCTGGAATGGTTATACTACTTATCCTGATGCCTACACAGACGATTTTTGGAAAGTGGTTTTCGGAACTGAGGTATGATCGTTTTACAAAAGCCTAAATTTGAGAGTTTGGGAGGGAATTATTAACTTTATTTTTATAAAATACTTGATTTTAAACCTGTTTTTGTTCAGATTATTTTCATATTTGTGCGATAGTTTTGCTATGGTTCTATTTAGATTTAAAATTTCAACTTCAATCTCAGATTTTGTTTTGTATGTTTGTTCTCTGATTTTGGGTACTGCTGGCAGGGTCAATATTTATTGCTGAGTCCTTGCGCTTGTGAGTATGATGGATTATCAACTTCTGCACTCCTTGGGGTGAAGGTGCACTTACAAGTTCATTGAAGTACAGAGTTTCAGAATTTCATCCCAGCAGCCATGAAGGAGGAACACTATGGACTTTAAGGAATTCACTGAATTTTTAGGGGGCTTGACCAGGTACATGTGGAGAGGTTGTTGTTTCTCCCTTATGGGGGAGTCTCGGACAAGAGAGCATAACTTCAGAATGAAGGATCGTTCATTTAACACACAAATGAGGAGGAATTCTTGCCTGATGGAATTGATTCTTCAGGCTTCTTTACCATAGAGGGTTGTCAATGCTTGGTGGTTAAGAATATTCAAGACTGAGATGGAAGGATTTTTAATTGGTAAGGGCATTGAGGATTATAGAGAAAAGGCATGAAAGTGGAGTTGAGGGTTATCAGATCAGCCATGACCTTATTTGATGGTGTAGCAGACTTGGTGGCCTGAATGGCCCACATCTGCTCCTATGTCATGTGCTCTTATGGATGTATAAGTAATTTAGGGGTCTCAGAAAGAGAAAAACAGTTAGCGTTGGGTGAATGAGTTATAAGTTGTATAGTTAAAGCAATAAAGTGTTTACATGCTGGTATTATTGCTACACTGTTAATTCAGTGACCCAGGTAATGTTCTGGGGTCCCAGGTTCAAATTCCATTGAGGCAAATGGTGAAGTTTGTATTCAATAAAACTGTAGAATTAACAATCGAATGATGACCGTGAAACCATTGCTGATTGTCAGGAAAAGCCGATCTGGTTCACTAATGACCTTTCGGAAAGGAAGCTGCCATCCCTAACTGCTCTGTGCAAGTAGGGATGGGTAATAAATACGACTTGGCCTTGCTCTAAAGTGTGGCCCAAATAAATTATTACTGCTTTGTCAAATTCAATTTTGGTCAAATTTATGACCAGTTTGGCTCTTTGTAATTGATTAAGCAACTTAATCATGTGTTGCGAATACTCTTTACAGGTTTCACTGAATGCGATTGGGCAGCAATGTAGACAATGTAAATACATAGCCCTAATGAAGATTTTTTTGGTTAACTGTTGCAAAGTTGCTGGTGCAGTCTTAGTTCCAAACAATATGAACTTACATAGATAAAGTCCATCTGGTGTTACAAAAGCTGAATTTTTTTGGCTGCATCATAGACATCATAGAATCCTCATCGTCATAGAATCCCTACATTGTGGAAACAGGCCATTCGGCCCATCACGTCTACACCGACCCTCCGAACAGCATCCCACCCAGACCCATCCTGTAACCCTACGTTTCCCATAGCTGACCCACCTACAGAGCAAGTTAGCACAGCCAATCCACCTAACCTGCACGTCTTTGGACTGTGGGAGGAAACAGAAGCACCCGGAGGAAACCCATGCAGACACGGGGAGAATGTGCAAATTCCACACAGGCAGTCACTCAGTGGAATCGAACTGGGTCTCTGGCACTGTGAGGCAGCAGTGCTAAACACTGAGTCACTCTGCCACCCACATCAGTCAATAGAACTTCTTAATGTCTTTTAAACAACTCAATTTTCTAAAGCAAATCAGGCATGCGTGGGAGGTGGTGATTAGAGAGAATTTCAGGGGAGAAAGTCTGCCAAAAGTACTCTCCACCTTCTCCTGGGTCCTGACACCCCCACTGCCCCACATTTCCTGGGTCCCAACCTTGAATCCTCTAACTCTCCTGGGTCCGTAATCCCACCACCCAGTCCTTGATCTTAGCCACTACCCTCTTTCCTAGGTCTCTGTTTCTCCCTCCAAGGTCTCGGGCTGTGTTGCGGGAAACTGTTTAAATGTACATGCGTGATTTAAAGCGGTGAGGAATATGCATGTTCTGGTGTCAGCAAACGTAGTTCAACAATATACCATTAATCTTCATGACAGGATAAGTCAATAATGTTGTGGTACAGAAGCCTGTAGGTGACAGTGATCACAACATGATAAAATTCTATATTCAGCTTAAAGTAGAAAATTATGGATCGAACAATAGTGCAGTAGAAGGGATAGGATGATAGTTAGTCGAAGTGAGCTGGTAAACAGATTAAATGGTAGGGTGGTATTACTTCAGTGGCAAACTTTTAAAGAGATGTTTAATAAGTGTCAAAGATTATCCCAGTAGGAAAGGGAGGCTCTTTAAGAAGGATGCATCCATCCATTTCTGAATAAGAAAGTTAGAGGTAGCATGAAATTGAAAGAAGCACTAAAAATCTACAAAGACTTACTGGTAGCTTAGAAGGTCATTCAGATCTTATGAACCAGCAAAAAGTGGCTGAAAAGACAGTAAAGAGGAAGAAAATAAAGTATGGGAGAAAGCTATCTATGTAGGCCACTCAGTCCCTTGAGCTAGTTCACCATTCAGTGAGGTCATGGCTGATCTGTGACCTAACTCCATTTACCTGCCTTTGGCCCATCTCCCTTAATATCTTTTGCTTGACAAAAAAAGATGTATCTCTGATTTAAAAAAAAAAGTAATAACTGATCTAGCATCCACTGCCATTCGTGGAAGAGAGTTCCAGGTGTCTACCATCCTTTGTGTATAAATGTGCTTCCTAACATCATCTCTAAACAGTCTGACTCTAATTCTCAGGCTATGTCCCCTAATTCTAGAAGCCCCAAATAGTGGAAATAGTCTATCTCCACCTACCCTGACTTTTTCTGTCTTGAAGACTTTGATTAGACAACTTTTCACCTTCTAATTTCTAGAGAAAATTCTAATTCGGATAATATCTCCTCATAATTTAACCCCTCAAGTCCAGATATCGTTCTTGAGCCAAGACCAGTATATCCTTCCTAAGGTGTGGTGCTCTCAGTCCCTCAAGTGGGGTCTAACCAGGGCTTTGTATAACTGCAGCATCCTTGTATCCTGTATCCTTGTACTCCTATCCTCAAGTTATAAAGGCCAGCATTCCATTAGCTTGCTTGATTAACTTCTGCACCTGTTTGTGACATTTTAAAGATCTATGCACCTGCAGCCCTCTGCTGTCTCTTTGGACATCCACTGTATTTGACTTCATACCATTGATAAAGTACCCTGATCTATCCTTGCTTGGTTCAAAATGGATAAACTCACACTCGCATACGCTTATGTCTGTTCACTAAGTCTGTCAGTATCTCTTTGTAATTTTATGTTATCATCTACATTAACTATAATGCCACTTCATTTTCTGTCATCAGCAAATAAGCAATGTGAATGAATAGTTGAGGCTCCAACACAATGCAAGTTTCTACAAGTAATGAAATAGGGAAAGAGGAGCTATAGCAAAGGTTGGTCCTCTACAGAGAGAGACTGGGGTAATGGAAACAATGAAATGGAAGAGGCATTGAAGAGGGGTTTGAAGTGGTCTGAAAACTAATGGATCTAAAGGCTGAAATGTCCCTGGGTTTTAAAATAAGTAACTGCAGAAATCAATTCATTATAATCTTTCAAAATTGTTTAGCTTCTAGAAGACTCTCAGTGGATTTGGTAAATAGCTGATGTTAAACCTTCCTTCAAACGAAGAAGAGGCAAAAAGCATCATGAGGTGGTAGTGAGTCTTTAAAGATAGACAGTTTAACTGAGTTATTAAAAATTTGTCTGATGCAATATAATGTGGGAAAATGTGAACTTGTCAACTTCAGCTAGAAGAAAAGAAAAGCAGATTTTGGTGGCACAGAGGGATTGAAGTTTTCTTGTACCAGAATTTCATAAAATTAGCACGCATGTGCAGCAAGTGATTAGGAAGGCAAATGCTGGTGTTTGCCGCAAGGCAATTAAATATAATAATAGGGAAGCTTTACTGCATCTATACAGTGTGTTAGTGAGACCACATTTGAAGTACTGTGTACAGTTTGGATTTTGTTGTTGTAATAACAATTCAGTTGCATTGGAAGTAGTTGAGAGAATGTCCAACCCATTCCTGAGTTGAAGTGTACCTCTTATGAAGAAAGGTTGAACACTTTGACCTTAGTCATTGGAATTTTGAAGTATGAGAAGTAGTCTTTGGAAGACTACAAAATTCTAAACTGGGTAGTAGAAGCATATTTCCTGTTGGGGCAAGACTAGATCAATAAGGCTGTCTCTCTTAAGATGATGAGGGGCTATTTTTTTTTTGAAGGTCCTTAGTCTGTGCCAGTAAATGTATTCAAAGCTAAGTGAGATAAGTTTTTAATAGTTGAGGGAGTTGGGGATTTATTGGTGGGCAGTGAAATGCTGAGGACTGTCATGAAAGTGGAGTTGAGATCCCAACAAGTTCAGCCATAACCTTATTGAACAGTAGAGAGGGCTGAAAGTGTTGAATTACCCTCTCCAGCTGTGAAGTTTTATGTTTCTGTATTGCTATAATTTGTGACAAAGTTGTCACTTTGAGAAGTGTTGTTCACTTCATATTCGTATGGGCTTCTAAAAGGCATTTCATCAAGTGCCGCATCACAAATATGATGGAAGAATTGAAGCCTGGTGATGGTGACCTCAGAAACAGTGTGGTTGGCCTCGTGGCACAGTTGTAGTGTCCCTACCATTGAGCCAGAAGGTCCACATTCAATTGTCATCTGCTCCAGAGGTGTGTAATAATATCTAAGAAAAACATCTGTTAGAAAATAGACAACACAGTGTGGAGCCGGAGGAACACCACAGGCCAGGCAGCATCGCAGGAGCAGGTAAGTTGACCTTTCTTGAGAAATGGGGAGGGGAAAGGGAGCTCAGAAATAAATAGGGAGGAGGGGTGGGGCTGGGGAAGGTAGGTGGGATGGTGATAAGT